TTCTTCTAGAAGTTTATAATACTTTCAATATTCTTGGCCAACATCGTAACTCAAAAGCATCAATTCTTCTACAGTCTTCCTTATTCACTATCCAGCTTTCACATACATATGTTGTTGTTGTTATGTGCCGTGGAGTAGGTTCCGGCTCATAGCGACCCTGTACAGGGTTTCCGAGGCTGTAAATATTTACGGGAGCAGAAACCCTCATCTTTCTCCCACGGAATAGCTGGTAGTTTCGAACTACTGACCCTGAGGTTCACAGTCCGATTCGTAACCACTACGTTACCAGAGCTCCTTACATACTTATGAGGTGACTGCAAATACCATGGTGTGGGTCAGGCACACCTTAGTCCTCAAGGTCACATCTTTGCTCTTGAATACTTTAAAGACACTACAGCAGATTTGGTCGGTGCAACACGTGTTTGAGTTCTTGACAGCTGCTTCCGTGGGCATTGATAAGAATGACTGGTACAAGGGGACTTCAAAAAAAGTCCACCATTTTCATTCCATTTTTCCACAAACTCTTTGAAGCTCCCTTATGTTTTCTTATGGGCCATGGTGGCTAAGTCACCTGCAGACACTCTGAGATCTTTATGAGGATCTAGGGTTGGGGACCAACCTGAATAAAATGAAAGGATTGGGCAGGGCCATGTAGAGAGCTGGGCTGAGAGTGAAAATAAAAGTTGTATGATTTAGTACTGTGGTGTGAAGTCTGGACAGCTACACCCAACAGCCCAACAGCAGGAAAGAAAAAAACAAAGAAAACCAGTGGTTGGGTTGATCTAAGCTTGGCAACAGAATTCAGGGGCTGACAAGAAGATGGCTAAAGGATTGGTCATGGATCCCAAGACGGCTGCTGGGAGAAAGCATGGGAGGGCTGGGTTTAGATTAGGGAAGGGGCAAGTAACTGGCCATCATGGTGACCAGTTCCTCTCAGGTCTAGAGGCTGGAGAACAAATATCACAGGATACCTCCTGGGGATATATCTTTTTCAGACCTAATTGGTTGTTTTTGCACTTTCAACCTTACTAGTCATAAAGGAGGTCTGTCAAACTGGAAGGTGTCTCTTGATGGCACAAACAGCTAAGCACTGGTCTTACCAACCAAAAGGTTGATGACTCAAACCCACCCAGAGGTACCTCAGAAGCAAGGCCTGGCACTCTACTTCCAGAGCAGCAGCTACTATGGAGCACAGTCCTACTCTGGCACACACAGGGTTACCAGGAGTCAGATTCAACAGACAGTGACTGATTATCAAACTGGGTGGTGAAATTCATGGCTGTGCTGGGCTGCTAAATGAAAGGGTGGAGGTTCTCGTCCACCCAGGGGCACCTCGGAAGCAAGGCCTGGCAATCTACTTCCAACACATCCGCCCTGGGAAGCCCTGTGGAGCACAGTCCATTCCCACATGGGGTCCTCATGAGCCGTGGCTACAGTGTGGCTGGTGGTTTGGGACTGTCTGACTGGGAAGCAGCTTTATGGTCACTGATGGTTTCTTTCTTCCTAGACGGCTAAAGACTCTCAACAAGTGTGCCTCCATGAAACTTGATGTGAACGTTCACAGGAAGAAGGTAGGTACTGACACCCTACGAGACAAGTGGCTATCCCAACAATCCTGGGGTGGCCCTGATACATAAGCACCGGACCTCAAGGTGGGCTTCTACTGCAAAGTCGATGGTTTACACCTACCAGCCACTCCTCAGAAACCCTATACAGGGTGGCTGTGAGTCGGAACCCACATGACGGCACTTAACAACAACAAACTCAGCGTAAGCAGCTCACGTACATTAGACACTGAGCCAAAGCACAATGCTGAAACATCTGACCATCCGTGTGTGTCCTCCAAATGCCCATTTGATCATGACTATGGTGAAGGAGCTCTGGTAGTGTAGTGGATTACGAACTGGGCTACTAACTGCAAGTTCAGCAGTTCAAATCTAACAGTCCCTTTATGGGAGGCCTTCTGCTCCCGTAAAGGGTCACTGTGAGTCAGAACCATCTTGACGGAACACCACCATCAGAGTGTAGTGGGTTATGCATTGGGCTGCTTAACCGCAAGTTCAGCAGTTCGAATCTGCTAGCCGTTCCATGGGAGAAAGCTGAGACTTTCTGCTCCCACAGGGGTCACTGTGAGTCAGAACCGCTCGATGGCAAGCAGCATAAATCCCAGCTGAGTTTTGTTTTGCTCCACGGTTTCATTTTGCTTTTGTTTTTGTCAACGGTCTTGCGTACAGATGTAAAAGATCTTCGTTCCTTCTGGTAATCATTCAGAAGTTCGTTCTGCTGTCTCATTTGCTTTCGTTTTCATCAAAAGGGTGGCATACAGACACATCAGATAGCTTAGACCTTTCCAAAAGTTCATGCAGAAATGGAATTAAAAGATACTGGAATTTTCCCATGAGCTTTTTGAAGCCCCCCAGATATTCGTTCTCAGGCAGGCCCTTTTCCTAGTGGTATGAAGGGACAGGGGAGAATGTGACAGATAGACACTGTGTTAGCTCATCTTTCACCCTCTTACCCTTCAGTGACTCTACAAGTTCTAGGGAACATCTTTCCGTTTTAGACCCACATACACCTCTTACTTGTGGGGCGTTGCCTGTGCAGACAGACCCCATTTTACTGAGCCTCACAGAGAGTCACTTTATTGCCATGGGGACTTGGCTGCATGAAGAAGGTAAGCACGGGTGTTATCTCTAGCTGTCCCAGAGTCGCCCCAACTCGTGATGACCCTACACGGCCCGGAACGGACTGCTGTCCACTCCTGCCCCATCCCATGACGGCTTTGATCGGACCATGTGCTCCACATGGTTTTCTTTTCTTTTCTTCAAAAAGTGTTTTCTTGTCTCTGGTGCAAGTTTACACCGCAAATTGCAGTTGTAACATGCTGTCAAGCGTGTTCCGACGCATAGCGACGCTGGGTAAGGTTTCCGAGGAACAGCTGATGGATCTGAACCACCGACCTTGCAATTAACAGTCCAGGGATTCTCCTACAATGTTACATTAGGTTATGATTGAACAATTTCTGTACATGTTGCTCAACAACACTGTCTACATTTTCCACACTGTGTCTATATTAATAGTCTTTCTATTCTGGTCGTTCGGTTTCCATTAATCTAGTTTCCCTGTCCCCTCACCCACACCATCACCCCTGCCCATCCACTTACCTCTTCATCTTTGCTTCAGGGTAAAGGTTGACCATTGCTCTCATGTATATGATTGGCTTGGGTGTTTTTTTTTTTCATTTTTTGAAAGGAGAACAGTATTCATGGCTCATATTGTTTGTTTTATGGATCAATCTGTTATTTCTCTAAAGATGACCTCACAGAATAGTTTCAGTTCCAAATTTCAATGGTATCTCGGTGGGTATAGCCTTGGTGGGTTCTCTATGGATAACATTGTGAGGAACCTGTACATAGACCAAGATTCAGTTGTTCAAACAGAACAAGGGGATATTGAATAGGAAAGGTGGTTGCCAGGGTTGTATCCTTTCACCATACTTATTCAATCTGTATGCTGAACAAATAATCTAAAAATCTGGATTATATAAAGAAAAATGTGGCATCAGAACTGGAGGAAGTGTCATTAACAACCTGAAATACGTAGATGATACAACCTTGCTTACTGGAAGAAAAGAGAACTTGAGATACTTACTGATGAAGATCAAAGATCACAGCCTTCAGCATGGATTTTATCACACTGTAAAGAAAACAAAAATCCTCATAACTGGACCAATAAATAGCGTCGTGATAAATAGAGAAAAGATTAAAGCTGTCAAAGACTTCATTTTGCTTGGTTCAACAATCAACACTCATGGAAGCAGCAGTCAAGAAATCAAACAATGTGTTGCATTAGGCAAATCTGCTGCATTAGACCTCTTTAAAGTGTTCAAGAACAAAGATGTCAGTTTGAGGACTAAGGTGTGCCTGACCCAAGCCATGCTATTTTCAGTAGCCTCATACACATGTAAAAGTTGCACCATGAATAAGGAAGACCATAGAAGAATTCATGTGTTTGAATTATGGTGTTGCAGAATAATATTAAAAATACCATGGACTGCCAGAAGAACAACTAAATCTGTCTTAGAAGAAGTTCCATCAGAGTACCTCTTAGAAGCCAGGATGGCAAGACGTCATCTCTCATACTTTGGACATATTATCAGAAGGGCCTAGTCCCTGGAGAAGGACATAAAGCTTGGTAAAATGGAGGGTCAGTGAAAAAGAGGATGATCCAGTGAGATGGATTGACACAGTGCCAGCAACAGTGGGTCTAAGAGTAACAAACAACTGTGCGGAGGGCAGGGACCCAGCAGTGTTTCCTTCTGTTGTACTGAGTGGGCACCAACTCGATGACATCTAACAACTTCCAGCATGAAGTTTCTACCCCTGAGGTAGCACTGCTTCCTTGCTACGTGGTTAACTGACATAAAGCTTAAATCTGCTAAGGGTCAGAATCAACTCTACAGCACTTAGCAACAACAACAACCAGGTGTCTTAGTCTGGGCTCTCTAGAGGAGCAGAACCAGTGCCGTGTACATACAAACATACACACAGAGACTCTTTTCAAGGAATTTGTGGAGGCTGGCAGGTACTGAAACTGTGGGCTGGAGGCTTCTCCTGATTCATGGGATTGCAGGGTCCAACTGACCCAAAATTGCAGGTCAGACAGCAGGCTCCTGAACTCACCATTTCAGAAGTTGATAAATCCAAAATCTGCAGGCCAGGTGGCAGGCTAAAGTTGTCTCCTGTCCCAGGACATGGAGGTCAGATGACAAGAAGACAAAGCACAGGTTTGAGAGAGAGAGCTTTGCTAAAACATCCGTTTATATCATGGATGCTGGCCACACCCCCAAGGAAACACTTCTTGCAATTGATTGGCTGCTGACATCAAAATGAGAGGGGATAGACAGTATCTGCCCAACCACTGAGAATCCTAGCCCAGCCCAGCTGACAGGAACCATCAACGATCACACCATCTAAATGCTGCAGGATTTCCCTGAGCTTTTCTCCAGGAGCTCCCTTCTAGTTCACATGACTTAGTTTGGTTGTAAATATTGTCCTGTTGGCCGAAGCTCATAGAGTTTAAAACACACAGGCTGGCCTTTCTTTTCTAGGCTTCCCAGTCTGGTCTCTTTCCATACCCAAAATCAAAGAGACCCATCCATCCTGGAGGTCTGTAAAACCACACGTGGCTTGCTGGTATCACCAACCAAGTTTGAGTTCACGTGACAGAACTGGTCAGAGGTAGCACTAAATATTATAGCTTTTATTTTTCTTTAAATGTTTACCCTTCTTTTGGCTTCTCAAAAACCATTTGCTGCAAGAGTTGCTTTCCCCCCACCCCCTAGAATATTTGCTTAATACCAAGTCATTCTCCCTACTCCCTGCAACATGATCAGAAAATCCAAAGAAAGAACTCAGCCATTCTGGTCGCAGGCCTTTGTACACAGCTGGTCCTCCAATGTAGGCTTTTAGCTCATCAGTCTCAAGGAGAGAGGAAGTGCAAAATGCTTCCAAGAAAGGTCTTTTTCTGCAGCATTCATTCCAGAGCTTTCCTTTATTTCTTCTGGCATAATTACAACTTTTTACAATCATTATTAAAGCTTTATGTAACTTCTTAAAAATTAAAAAAGAAAAGAAAGACAAAAGAAAGTCCCACTGTGATCTTAAAGCTACGAAACCTCCCTAGTGGTATCTTGTTTTGTACTTTATTCCACCTTAGACTTCAATATTTGAATGTGTCATTCAGCCCTGGTGGCTCAGTGGGTTACTCCTTGGACTGCTAACCCCCAGGTTGGCAGTTCAAACCCAGCAGCTGCTCTGTAGGAGAAAGATGAGGCTGTCTGCTCCTGTAAAGATTTACATTCTAAAAACTCTCTATAGGGTGTCTCTGAGAGGAATCAACTCAAGGGCAGGGGAGTTTACGTTTGATTTTTGTTTATTAATATGACTTATGATTGAAGAATCATAAACCATAGTGAGGAATGGAGTCCTGGTGTGGTGCTGTGGGTTAATGTGCTGGATTACAAGGCTGCTTTGAATTGCAAGATTGGTGGTTCAAGCTCAACAGCCGCTCCTTGAAAGCCCCATGTAAGATCGCTATGGGTTGGATCCGACTCGACGGCACTTACCAATAATGAGGAATACCCTAAGCATATCTGCCTTTCATTTCATTCCATTATTGTCTCTCTGTGTGTAACACAATTTTTCACATTGGCATTTAGACACCTCAAGTATTTTCAACTTCCTGTCTTCCTCTATTACTGATGTTGTTAAGAACCATTGAGTTAGTTCTGATTTCTAGCAACCCTGTGTTGGGTTTCCGAGGAGCCATTGGTGGGTTTGCATGGCCGTCCTTGCTGTTAGCGACCCAGTATGTATCCTACAGTGCCACGCCAGATTCCAGTGTCTCCACTATCTGTCACTCACCCACTCCACACCTGGTTCATTCCTTCCACGGTTTCCGTAACAGCCACCTCTCAGCCTTTCAGGATTCCTGCACCCTTTTAAACTCCTTCCAGTGTTTCTGTCCCTTTGCAGCACTGAAGCACTAAACCAAAGACAGACTTGTATATGTTCCAGAACCAAGAGAGTCTAGATAAGGTCTGGTACTCAGTCCTGGTGGCACAGGGGGTTAAGCACTAGACTGATAACCAAAAGGTGGGCAGTTCGAACTCACCAGCCACTCTGCAGGAGAAAGATTAGGCATAAAGATTTACAAAATCTCCTTCCATAAAGAACAGCCTTGGAAACCCTATGGGGCAGTTTTACGCTACAACATGTGGGGGAGTTATGTGCTGTTATCAACTAGTCCACAGTGGGTTTCGTTTGGTTATTTGTTTTGAATGTACCCAGTGGCCCAACAGAAGAAAGACCTGGCTATCTGCTCCCAAAAAGATGACAGCCTAGGAAACCCTGTGGGGCAGTTCTACTCTGTTACACCAGGGGGCGCTGTGCGTGGATGATCTATAAGAGTATATACGAGTATATAGTGACACAATAGATGACAGCCTAGGAAACCCTTTGGGGCAGTTCTCCTCTGTTACACCAGAGGGCGCTGTGAGTGGATGCTCTATAAGAGTATATAGTGACACAATAGATGGCAGTCTAGGAAACCCTGTGGGGAAGTTCTACTCTGTTACACCAGGGGGCGCTGTGAGTGGATGATGTATAAGAGTATATATGAGTATATAGTGACATAATAGATGACAGCCTAGGAAACCCTGTGGGGCAGTTCTCCTCTGTTACACCAGGGGGCGCTGTGAGTGGATGCTCTATAAGAGTATATATGAGTATATAGTGACACTAGATGACAGCCTAGAAAACCCTCTGGGGCAGTTCTCCTCCATTACACCAGGGGGCGCTGTGAGTGGATGATCTATAAGAGTATATACGAGTATATAGTGACACAATAGATGACCGCCTAGGAAACCCTTTGGGGCAGTTCTCCTCCATTACATCAGGGGGCGCTGTGAGTGGATGATATATAGAGTATATATGAGTATATAGTGACACAATAGATGACAGCCTAGCAAACCCTGTGGGGACATTTCTTCTCTGTCACACAGGGTGCTGTGAACTGGGATCCACTGAATGGACCACCCACCATGTAAACAAACATTTGACTTGCTGTTTTTCAGAGTGACGACTCTGATGAGGAAGATCTTTGTCTCAGCAATAAATGGACTTTTCAAAGAACCAGTCGGAGATGGTCTCGCGTGGGCGACATCCACGCGCTCTTCCCCGGAGGAGAAGACAGGAACGGGTCTTCGGGGGACATTAGGATGAAGAACACCCCCAGCAGCGAGAGCGTGCTCACGGAGCTCAGTGAACCCGAGGTCTCCTCCGTGCATAGCGGCAGCAGTGGGGGCAGCGAGGGCAGGAGCCAGCCTGGGACACCCAGGGCTGGCCACGAGGCCTGGGGTTACCTGACCATGCCGGACGCGGTGTCCGTCAGCAGCCACCTTCCTCTGTCTCCCAGAGACACCGTCCACTACCCTTGTCACCCCAAGAATGAGAAGTCAGGGAGAAACCGAGCCAAGTCGTTTCTGAAACGCATGGAGACCCTGCGGGCCAAAGGGTCCCCCGGGAGGCACAAGGGGTCCGGGCGGACAGGGGGCTTGGTGATCAGCGGGCCTATGCCTCAGCAGGAGGCCGATGCCTTTAAGAGCATTGTGTACATGCAGCCCCCCAATGGGGAACTCCAGCCCCTTGCTTCCGGGACCTCCAGGAAGGGGCCTCGGGGCACCAGTAAATCAGGCAGCGAGTCGGAGCCCAGCAGTAGTGGGCCCAGCACGCCCTGCCTTGAGGCCAACAAGCGAGGGGGTATGTACCTGGAAGACCTGGATGTGCTGGCTGGGGACCACAGCCGTGCACACACCTTCCATTCCCAGGAGAACTTGGTGGTGCATGTCCCCAAGGACCACAAACCAGGGACTTTCCCCAAAGCTCTGTCCATAGAAAGCCTGTCGCCTATGGACAGTAGCAATGGGGCTAACTGGCGGGCCGGGAGCATGGGCCTGGGCCGACGACAGGTCACCGATGCCATGGAGCCCCGGCTCATGGGGAGCTGCTCAAGAGAGAGCCGTGTCAGTATCTACGACAATGTCCCTGGTTCCCACCTGTACGCCAGCACAGGGGACCTCCTGGACCTCCCCGGACTGGATGACATTGTGCAGCAGGTCAATGGCATTCGAGACGTGGTGGACAACTGGTCCAAGAACCTCCTGCCTGAACCGCTAACCCAGGACGGGCTTGCCGGAGAGGGGCTCGCAGAGTGCCCCTTCCCACCTTCACATCAGATCACCTTAGATTTTGAAGGGAACTCCAGCTCGGAAGGCCGGACCACGCCCAGCGACGTGGACAGAGACGGGTCGTCGCTGGTTGAATCCGAGGCCCCTGGGGTCAGAGAGCGGAGGGATTCCGGGGTCGGGGCCTCGTTGACCCGCCCAAACAGGTTGGAGGCAATTGTGAAATGATACTTTACCCACTTCCTATTAATTTTGTTAGTTACTTGTTAGCTTGTTTACTTTTTATAGTTACTTTTAAACTTTTTTTTTGGTGATGATTATTTTCCAGGTCTGTATGGGTCCTTGCAGATCTGTATGGGTGATTCGTAGCCTCGAGGCCTAACGATGCTTCCAGGACCCTCACCTACCTTTCTCCTCCACCTTTCTTTGTTTTTTGTTTTGTCTAACTTTTCTTTGTGAAAGGTTGACGGAGCAGATGGGTGTTCCATCCAAGAGTTCACACACGTTGTTTCAGTGAATTGCAATCCATCCTCACAATGTTATTCTCACTCACCCCGCTTCCTCCTTATGGTTCCCGTTTCCATTCCTCCTGATTTCCTAACCTTCTGAACTCTGTCCTTGGGTCAGAGTTGATTCTTCTAAGGTGTGTGTGCCTCCCCAGTGCTTTTTCCCCACTTCTAGACTTGTTTGGCTGAAAATTGAACTACAGGGCTGAGTTCAGGTGCGGATCTGAGGGTGGTGTAGGGCCATCATCTCCAGGGTCCCACCAGTGTGTATCAACTAGTTGTTGTTGGTGTTAAGTGTCATCGAGTCGGTACCGAATCATAGCGACCTTATGCACAGCAGAATGAAACACTGCCCAGTCCTGGGCCAACCTCAGTATTGATGTCACGCTCGAGCCCATTGATACTGCCACGAGTTTGCCTGGTCTTTCATGATTTTGAGTTTTGTTCCACATTTTTTATCCCACTCTGTCCAGGACCTTCTCATGTGGTCCCTGTCAGAGGAGTTGGCAGTGATCGCTGGGCGCCACCTAGTCCTTCTGGTCTCAGGGTCATGGAGACTGATGGTCACATGGTCTGTTAGTCCATTGGCCATGTGTCTAATTGTCGTCACTCTTCTTTGTCCCAGATGGAAAGAGACCGGTAGCTGTACCTTCAGCCCCAGTCAGTCATATTTGTATTCTTTTTATATATTACTGTTTGCTTTATTAATTCATTTGTTTATTTAGTAAGCATTTACTATATACCAGGAGACCCTGGGTGATGCAAACAGATAAGCACCCAGTCACTGAAAGGTTGGTGCATCAAACCCACCCAGAGGCACTCAGAAGAAAGTCCTGGCAGTCTGTTCCCTGAAGGTCACAGCCCTTGAAAGCCCTCTGGGCATAATTCTGCCCCAAAACATATGGGGTTGCCCTGAGTCAGGCAACTCGTCTGGTTTTCTTGGTTTTATATATTTTGTGTCGATATTATTATGGTAAATGGATTCGAATGTTCTTTTTGCCCTTTTCCACAATCCTTTTTGGATTTTTTTGGTTTGGTTTTTTCTCCATCATTTTTCTTTTTCTAGGCTCTGTAGGAAACCACAGTTCACTGAGGCCTTGTTTATAAAACACTTCCTGTGACCTTACAGAGTATTCATTAAAATGTCCTTAGAAACAACCTCAGACTTTTTATTATCCTGTGAGGAATTTCTGAGATCTCTGGGGCATGCTGCCTGCATTTGACTTAAAAACTGATTCTTCAGGACACAGAAACTGGCTTGCAAAGACAATGTAAGCACCCCAGAATGTGGCCCTGCAGGGGTGACCACTTGAAGTGGAAATGGTGGGTGTGTTGTTGGGCTCCGGTGGGGCCAGATCTCAGGGCTCTCTGATAGGGGTCTATCTCTGAGGGCCCCTAAGGCAAGTGGAGAGTCCTGGTGTGGCGCTGTGGGTTAATGAGCCAGACTGCAAAGCCGTTTGAACTGCAAGGTCGGCGGTTCAAGCTCTCGGAAACCCTTTACAGGGTCGCTATGGGTCGGAACCAACTCAATGGCACTTCACAAGAAGAACCAAGGGGAGTGGGGCAGGGCATGGGGACAGCAGAACACCCCACACGGCCTCCAAACGTTTGAGAGTGCATTCTCTCACCCTGTCTGGTTCTCAGCCTCTCTGGGTCTCCCATCTCGCTCTTCCTCTCCTGTGTCTCTCTCTGTCTCTTGTTCTCTCTTTCTCTCTTACAGTCTCTCTCATTATCTCTCTCTTCCTGTCTCTGTTCTTCTCTCTTTCTCCTGTCTCTCTGTCTTCCTTCGCCCTATCCTTCCTAGACTCTCCTTTCTCTGTCTCTCTCTCTCTCCTTCTCTCTCTTGTTCTCTCTCTCCCTCCCTCTCTTCTCACTTTCTTGCTTCCTCTCTGTGTCTGTTGTCAGAACTGCTTTTCTCTGTATGTCTGTGAGTCTAAGCTGCGTCAACACTCTGGGAACAAACAGACAAGCGTACAGAACGTTTTATGTCTCTGACTTAAGCCCCTGAGGAAGCATAAAAGAACCTTCTCTGGGCCCACCAGGCTGGGAAGCAGCTGTGTCTTTGTCCACCCTGGATGGTGGTTTGCTGGGCTCTGGCCACAGCCCCTGCAGTCCCTCACTCAGCCTTACCCTGTGTCTCCCCATGCCTGGTCCCCGGCGGGCTTTCTGGTGCAGACGTCTCCGTTGGAACAGCTTCCAGCTCTCCCACCAGCCACAGCCGTCCACAGTGTCCCCTCCCATCAGCCACCAGACGGCCGGCCAGCTCAAACTACTCCAGCGCCTCTCCCTGCTACGCCTGACAGCCATCATGGAGAAATATTCCTTGTCCAGCAAGCACGGCTGGACGTGGTGAGTACGTGTTCCCCCCCAGGCCAGCCCCTCAGCCCAGGCGAACAACGGTCCTAGGCAGCTTAGTGGAGTAAGAGCGGGACTGCTAACCACAAGGTCAGCAGTTGGAATCGACCACCTGATCCACGGTAGCAAGGTTCACAGCCTCAGAAACCCTGTACAGGATCAGTATGAGTCGGAACCGACTCCACGGCACACAACCACCAACACGGCCCCTGAGTGACAAAGACAGTTCAGTGCCCACACAAGCCCGCGCAGCAGCACCACGCAAGAAAAGCCTGGCAACTTGCTTCCTTAAATGTCATTGTTGTGTCAGGTACCATTGAGTCATAGTGACCACGTGACAGAGGAGACTTGTCCCATAGGGTTTCCCAGGCTGCCTTCTTTATGGGAGCAGATCACCAACTCTTTCTCCTGAGGAGTCCCTGGGTAGGTTCGAACCCATGACCTTTCAGTTAACAGCCAAGCACTTACCCAATGTGCCACCAGGACTCCAGCTAAGAAAACCCTGTCGAGCTCAGCTATAACGTGGAGTCTGCATGAGTTGGAATTGATTCGACAGCCACCGGATACATTGGGTAGGGATTCACTCACCAAACCTCACCTCCATCATGTAGATTCCAGCCCATCGGGACCCTAGGGCAGAGAACTACTCCGTAACATTTCTGAGGCTGAAAATCTTTGCAGGAACAGAAAGCCTCTTCTTTTCTTGCTCAGAGTGGCTGGTGGGTTCAAACTGTCTACCTTACAGTTAGCAGTCCACTGTGAAACCCACTGCGCCACCAGGACTCCTTGTTGGGTTTGACAGTACCCCGGAAGTAATGTTTGGGGTTGTTCCTGGTGGTTAGCAGCAACCCTGGCTTCTGGCTGCCAGGAAGCACAGCTTCATTTGAAGCTCGTGATTGGTGTGTGGGGGTGGCTGCCAGGTTCGCAGATGGAACAAGCACAGGTACAGACTGCTTAGTTGTGAGCAGAGGAATTAAAATAAACTCACCATAAAACAAGCATGGCAGTTTGCAAAGCACTATCTGTCCCTTGTGCCTACAGCTCGGCGCAGGGCATCGACCCACACAGAGAACATTTTATCCTTCAAACACAGTCCTGCTTGTATTATCCTGAAAAAGAAACCAGGAGCCCAGCGTGAGCCTACGTATAAAGGAATCGATAACAAAAAGTCTGCTCCAGAACGTGACTGGGGACGCTACTCAAGACCTCAGGGTGGTTTAATAATCTACAAAAGTTATTAGACATGGTCCTAGGATGCAGGTAACAAGGACGCTTCAAAAATTTGGTGGAAAACATCCGTTATCTTTACATTCCACTATTCCACCAGCTTTTTGAAGCCTTCTACTGTTTGCATCAAGGAATCGATGATGCTTTTATAACGTATTTTAGAACGTTATAAATCACCCGGTCAAATCAATATATACTTGCTTATTTAATTTTCCTTTAAAAACAACAACAACAGCGTCTCACTCTTGAAAAGTAAGGGCATAGCCCTTCCTTCTCCCCCACCCGCAACCAAATTTATCCTTCCTCTTGTAATTATTTTTAAATGTGTTTAGTTTTGTTGAGGAGTTCTAAATGTTTGGAATCCCTGAGTGGTGCCAACACTTAATACAGTTGACTGCTAACCAAAAGTTTGGTGGTTCGAGTCCATCCAGAAGAGCTTCAGAAGATCTGCCTGGTGATCTATTTTTGAACAGCCAGCCACTGGAAAGCCCCAAGGAGCACACGGTTCTACTCTGACACCTACAGGACCACCAGGAATGCAACTGGTTTTGTTCCTTTTCCTTAATGTTGATCACTTGAGAACTGTTATGTTGGACACTTGTCCACTTCATAAAAACAGAGCTACACATGCATTCTGCTCTTGTGACTCATCAGTGGTCCTGGTGGCACAGTGGTTAAGCACTCCACAAGAGAAAAGATCTGCTGATCTGCTCTGGTAAAGCTGAAAACCAGATCAAACTGAACCCACTGGACTCCAGCCAAATCCAAATCAGCAACTTGTAGGGCAGAACTCTTCCATAGGGGTTCCAACTGTATATTTTTATGGAAAGAGACAGCCTCATCTTTCTCCTGCATAGTGGCTGCTATGCAGAGTTTCTCCTAGGAAACCCCATAGGACAGTTCTCCTCTGTTACACCAGGGGGCACTGTGAGTGGATGATCTATAAGAGTATATATGAGTATATAGTGACACAATAGATGACAGCCTAGGAAACCCTGTGGGGCAGTTCTCCTCTGTTACACCAGGGGGCGCTGTGAGTGGATGATATATAAGAGTATATTGGAATATATAGTGACACAATAGATGACTTCTGGGGAAACCTTATGGGACACTTGCACTCTGTCACATGGGGGTGCTGTGAGTTGGTTGTAAGGGACAAGCAAGGACCCGCTCCCAGATCCACCAGGAGGGAAACTCAGCCTCCCCCGGCTGACTTTCCTGGCCTCTTCCCACACTCAGTCCCTGTGAATTCCAGGTCGGTGCCGAAGTTCATGAAGAGGACGAAGGTCCCCGATTACCGGGACAAGGCCGTGTTTGGTGTTCCTCTGATAGTACATGTCCAGAGAACTGGGCAGCCCCTGCCTCAGAGCATACAGCAAGCCCTGAGGTTTCTGCGAAGCAACTGCCTCGATCAGGTACGGCTGCTAATATACTGTTTGGCAGAAATTTTATACATTAGCCTCATTCCTACTTTCAGATCCTTTTTCTACCCTCATTTTCTGCTTTTTCTTACCTGTTTTCTTTCATTTCATTGTGTCTTCTTGTTCTTGTGGGGTGTCATTAAGTCCAATCCAACTCATAGTGACCCCGGGTGACAGAGAAGAACGGCCCCATTCTGTGTCCAAGCCTGGAATTCTCAAGGAATTGTTCTGGTAGCACAAAGGCCAAGCACTTGGCTGCTAACCAAAAGATCAGCGGTTCAAACCCTCTGGTCACTCTTTGGGAGAACAAGGATGCTGTCTGCCTCCGGAAAGATGTCCTTGGGAACCCTGTGGAGCAGCTTGGTGGCAGAGGGGTTTGAGTACTGGTTAAACATTTATGGGAATAGATCACTAGATCTTTCTCCTGTGGAGCCGGGTGGGTTCAAACTGCCCACTGAGCACTTAACCGTTTCATCTCCAGGGCTTCTGTTGTGGTTGTTAAGTGCCATTGAGTCACTTCTGACTCACAGTGACCCTGTGTGGGGTTTATCAGGCTGCAAATCTTTTTCCCTCAGAGCTGCTGGTGGTTGGCAGTCCAGTGCTTATCCTACAGAATTACATAGCTCCTTTAGTGGG